TTTTCATTGAAGCGGAATACTGCTTAACCGGGATTCACTGTACACATAAATCAGAGGAATATTGAATATTTTATTTGGCACATTTCTTGACTTGAAAATCGACAAATAAACTATGTTGTCAATTTTATTCTATACTTACATTTGCGGGGTTGTCGCTTTTTCCTTCTCATACAAATACCAGAAATTGTTCAATTTGTGATTTTTAGCTTTTGCCAACGTCGAGAAAAGACGCTTGTTGGCAAAGGCATGCTCCGGGAGATGTCATGGTGTTTGTTTTTATGAATGAAGCAAGTTTGCCTGTTGAAAGTGCGCTTGCGTTCATGAATGAAAATATTGTTGTTGTGTACTTTTCTAAACATTTGGGCATCGACTTGGCTGCCATATTGACTTGTGACGCTGCTGCTTGGTATTTGAAACCATTATTGTTTTTGTAGAACAATATTCGTAGTTTTTGCTAGTGACATATTTACATGTGAACGCATATTAGTATGGATGTTGTGTATGCATTATTTGTGAAGGAATGTCATAAGCACATATTTACATGTGTACGCATATAAGTATGTTGGTTTGTGTATGCATTAATTGTCCGACAATGTCGTGCATATAGCAGCAGTGCGCTCACACTTTTTACTGATAAATGATAATATCACGATCTGAATTTGAATTGTACTTACCTATGTATGTATGTACGTAACTATGTGCTGATATGTATGTATGAAAATTGAAATGAAATGCGATTTACATATAATATTATTGTAATATATTATAATAAGTAGTTTAGTATATTATGATAGTATGTCATATATGTATATACTATGTACATATATAGCATGTCTACATACTCATATGTAAATTTATAATATATTATCAGACATATGAAATATTTAAAAAGTAGCTCTTATTTGTACATTAATTACAAATGTTACTTCGAAAATAGCATAATTTAAAGATGAAGTTATCAATTTTGCATGCATTCACAAAAACTCGCAAAATGATATTCAATATCAATTAATATGATTGCATGTATGTAAACGTATAGAATTATATGCAAAAGGCTAACATACGTCTGCAAATACTTTGTGTTTAATACCGGTTAAGCAAAAGATTTACTTTGAATATAATATTAATTTTGTTCTTGTTTCWMTATGCCGTTTTATTCCGATTTGCACTAATAAATTTATATTTTAAATAWATTTGGGTTTGAGTACTTACAATTTTTTCCACGTACTTGTTTGCTGATAAAGTGGTTGACTGGGTGGGTGAAATTGCTACTCCTGAAGATCCAAAAGGTGGTTGTTGGGTGGGTGAATATATGTAGATATATTTGAAGATCCGATGTGTGGCTGATTGGGTTGTTGAATTTGTATAATCCTGATTATCCAAATAAATTTTAATTGGGTGGGTTTATTTTATGAAGCACTCAATCCGGCTCGAAGGACCAAAATGTCGGGGTGATCGACGTGTGTTTGCCGGTGTGCCAAATAAAATAAAAACTATTAGGATTTTGGTAACAATTCAGATTTGTATATTTAAGGGTATAATACTTGCATGTATATAGGGTGAGTAAGTATGTCCAATTGTGTGGTTATGTGTGGTCAATATGTGTGGGTTTATATAATTATAATTTAACTTATGGGTTATTTACAAGTATAATTATAAATTTTGATAAAACCTGATTATGTTATTTATTCCCGCGTTGAGGTGATTTTGCTGCTGTTGTTTTTGTTGTTGCTGCTGATATTGCTGCTGCTGATTTGGCGTCTATATGTCCGTCCGCTGTGGTGATTCGTTCTATTGTGTCTTTCTGTTTGTTGGGTACTTCGCTGTTATGTTGGCGCTGTTGGGTGTTTTTTGCATTGTCCTCTAATTCGTATTTAGACGAGTTAGGAGGACAATGCAGGGATGTGTTCATTTGGTATGAACAAGCTGTGTAAATGCACAAGTCTGCCGTCTGTCCCCATAAAATTTCAATTCGCATTTGCGTTGCTTAAGGCACATTAATTTTGCTCGTCTGTCAGGGCTATAAGCTGCCACAATAGATGCATCCAAAATCTTACAACTCTATTAGATATATCAAAATACAGAAGTTACAACTCAAATTTTTCAAGTAAAGTGCATATTAGGCAACACTTTATATATAGCGATACTTTTAGCGATATAGAAAATTTAACTTATAAGTTAATGACATATTATTTATCAAAAATATTAAAAATTAAAAACAAAACACATTCAGCTATAGACAAAATCATTTCAAAGTTAGGAAGCTTTACAAAATGAGCTCATAATGTAAAAAACTGACATGCGATACTAAAATTTTTTTGTTTTTAATTTGTTAATATTTAATTTCACTTACACTATAATTGAAATCAATGTAAAGAAAAATATGCCTTAGAAATAGGTATTTCAAGACGTCGGGTTGTGAATTTTCGCAGCAATAAAAATTTTCTACATCCCTCATAGTACTTGAACCTAGAACCATCCTGATCCAAAGGGTCATTACATACTCTTTCAAGGATATTGAAAGGAAATAACTCTATATCTATCAGAAAACATACACAGAGTTGTTCTTGTGTTCAATCCTCTCCCTTTCCTAATCTGTCCGAAAAAGTGTTCCAGTTCGACTTGGCAGTCTTCTCGTTTTGACGTTTTCAAATCCCTGCCGGGACAATATATCCCAGAATCGTCTTAAACTGCGAACTCTAATAAACGAAAATTTGTTTGTTATATATCGACCAAACATATCACAAACAATGATAGAGTTAAGTGCTTCTTCGGATACTTCTAAAAAATTCATTTGTTCTAAGCTGCCCAAAAAGGGTTCATCATTTTTTTTTAATGCTCCGAGACATTTGCTATTAAAAAGTTAGTCGAAAAACAATACAAAGTTAACAGCATTCAAAAAGTTTTGAGACTGAAAGATGTTTACGTGATTCGTTGTATAAGTTAACAAAATTAATAATTAAGGCAGGAGCGCCACTAACAATATGCGTCGCTGCCGACGTCTCGCTCTACCGGCGCTTACAATATTAAATTGGTGATAGCATAAGTTTAGATTATAGTTTCTCTTTAAATTCGGCTGTTCTTTAAGTTGGTTGGACATTGCTCCAACAACTAAGAAATTAAAGTTAAACAAGCATTTTTGTACAGTTGTAACAAAATGTTTAAACTGTTATGTTAACGGGCGCCCAATGAGTTGGAGAACCACACATACATCCTGAAGGAGCCTGCAGTGGAATCATCCTCCTAGCCGAATTAATCGTCCGTTCAATCTCTTACCCACTCTTGAGGAAGAGAAGCGTGCGAGAAAGTGGCCATCGGGGGAACCTTAGTAATGACGAAAAGGATTAAACAGGATACTTCTTCCAGTCATGCACGTTCGTAAGATGTTAGTTTTAAGAATTATAATTTTGACTTCTAATTATCAAATTCAATTAACTAAATAAGTGAAAAATTAAAAAAAAAGGCGGAAAAAAGTTCCTATTCCTATATACCGATCCTAAACAAAAAATATTATCTTTTAACAAAAACGAAAAATTTTAATCAGTTGTTCATTTCATAAAAAGTGTATTTAAAGGTGTATCTCTAGTTGAACACAAAAAAATAATTTAGTAAAAATTAAAAAAGAGATAAAGCTCAGTTGTCACTAAAAATTCAAAAAAATAAAAAGGAGGGAAAAAGTTTCTATTCCAATATACTGTTTCCTAAACAAAAAAAAATAATATTATCTATTATCAGTACCGAAAAATTTAATAAGTTGTTCATTTCACACAAAAGTGTATTTAAAGGCGTATTCCTAGTTGAACACAAAAAATAATATAATAAAAAGTAAAAGAAAAGAGAAAAAGTTCCCATTCTATACTGTTTAAAACAATAAAAAAAAATTCTAATTTCTTTGACACAACTTACACGCGCAAAAATATATACGGATATATGAATACTTATTGGTAAAAAATGATTAGCTAAACTAAAAAAAAGGTGCTATCCTACTACCTATTTAGATTTATTAAGAAATATAAAACGAAATTCAATATAACACAAAAGCAAGTTTAGCTAACGAACTGTAATAAATTCTATAAAATAATCCTTATAATAAAATAAAATACGATTATAAATTAAAATTATAATATTATGTTGAAAATCAACATTAAATAACACCACACAAAAGAGGAACTTCTAGTCCTTATAATAAAATTCAAACCAAATATCTCTGCGATTCACCACCTTCGAGGGGACCCTAAGGTGAATAAAATAAAAATATATAATCAAATAAGTAATCAAAATGACTAACCCAAACAATCTTATTCGTCCCCCAATAATAAATATACCATCCGTACCCTCTCCTGCTAATATACCAACTATAGAGCAAGTAAACGCAACACCAGAATTAGAAGCTCTGATTACAAAAATAGTGAGAAATGTATGCCTCACCGAGGACATCAGACAAACTAATCATAACGAACTTAACTGTACAGATGAAGTAATGAACAGCGAATATAGGCATAATATTGACGAACTAGACAAGGTTCCTGACGTAGTTCGATGCCTCAGAGAATTTTCGGGAAATCCAATCGAATACAGCTCTTGGAAGAAGAGCGTAGATAGAATTTTAAAGTTGTATGAACCTATCAGAGGAACAGCTAAATATTTTGKTATTATAAATTCTATAAGAAATAAAATAACGGGAACTGCTGATACTGTTTTGGAGTCGTATAATACTCCACTAAACTGGAACAGTATTTCACGTTGTTTGACTCTGCATTATGCAGATAAGCGGGATCTCGGCACACTTGAGTACCAAATGATTACTATCGTTCAAGGCAACGAAACGGTGTGAAATTCTATCAAGCCGTGTATGAACATTTGTCTCTTATTTTGAAAAAAATTTCGGGTATGTATGTAGTAAAAGATACTTTATCTATTCGTTTCAAACCACGTTTATTAAAATATTGTCAAGTACATACATGCTTAAACACTATTTAGGCACTTAAAACTATGCGGCACAATAGTTTGACGACTTATCAAGTTGCGCGTGCCACGGTGTATATCACTTGACTGTCTCTATCTTATCCGTTTTCCCTACTTCGTCCTCTGTCTGWTCGTTTCATGTTCTGTCGTTCCTCTGTTTGCCTGGGAACTTGCCACCTACCCCGATATCCCATTCCCGCAATCGGTCATCCTGACACATTATTCGACCCCGAATAKCTAGCGCCATGGCTTCATATTTTCAGCTATGGTTGTTGTTCTAAGCGGGCCCTCTTGGTTTCCCACTTTCCTCACCTCATATCTACCATGGTTTAGCTTGACGGCTACCCTATACGGTCCTAAATATTTTGGCCACAGTTTCATAGCGGTCCCGAACTGAGTCTTTTTGATGGCAACTAGATCACCGATGTTGTAGCTAACTTCTCTTTCCTATTTTTATTGAAAGTTCTACAGTTCTCGTTTTGTATTTTATTTATATTTTCTTGAGCACTTTGTCTTACAAAGTCTCTTTCGGTATCAAGCTCCTCTATTGTTAAATCGTCTAATATTTGTCTCAAATCTGGGTAATCGTTTAGCCGCATATCTAACCCGGTGAGAATTTTAAAGGGCGATGTTCTAGTGCTGCGCGGCACAGTGTTATTTAAAACTTGTTGTATCTTCGGCACCTGGTTGTACCACTGGGTGGGGTTGCTTTGACACTTTTTAGCTATAATTGGAATGACCGTTTTGTGTACGCGCTGCACTTGCCCGTTCCCTCGTGGTACTCCTGTTGCGAATAAAAAAATGTTGTATGTTTTCTTTATTACAATAGTCCCTGAAGCTATTAGACGTGAATGCTGCCCCTCTATCGGTTACTACTCGCTTAGGGTTGCCGAATATCGAAGCCTGTCTCTCCAGCCTATCAATCACCTCATCCACCCCCGTAGACTTTGTAGGGTATAACCATGTAAATTTGGAAAACCCGTCCACTATTACTAGAATGTGGTTATATTTCTTGCGTGTTTCGGTTAATGGTCCGACGTGATTAATGTGATATGTCCCTAACGGCTCACATGCTTTATCTATTGGATACAAAAACCCTTCCTTTTTTCCTCTTTTTGCGTCTACGATTATGCATTCCACGCATCCCTTTACAACTTTTGCTACCTTTTCTGTCAAATCTGGTATATAGTAGTTTTTCTCTACAAGTTCCTGTGTCTTTTTTCAAGCAAAATGATTCTGATCGTGTGCTAGTTTAATTATCTCTGTTTCCATGCTGRATGGTACTACGAGCAGTTCTCTTATGGTGTCACAATAAACTATACCGTTCTTCGAGAAGAAATTCTCATAACTTCCTGTTTCCAGGATCTTCTTGACTGCTCTAATCCACGTATCTTGCTCTTGCGCCTCTCTCAGTCTAACTATTAGTGAATCTTCGGCTAATAAACAATAAACGCCACTCAGTGCATCCACGTGCCTCATACGCGATCCCGACCTGTGTTCAACCATGTAGTCTTATTCTTGTAGATACATAACCCACCGCATAACCCTATCTGGGACATCTCTCTTCTTGATCGTCATAGCGAAAGCGTTGCAATCGCTAACTATCTTGAACTTCCTATCTTTAAGGTATACGTTCCATTTCTGCAATGCCTTAACCACTGCTAAAACCTCTAGCTCGAATGCGCTATACTTCTCTTCCGCCACTGTAATTTTGCGGCTCATGTATTCGACGGGGTGAAATAATCGATCCTGTGAATCTCTTTGCAACAAGACCGCTCCAAAACCCTGTTTAGAAGCGTGCGCGTGTACCTCCGTTTCCGCAGAAGGGTCAAAAAGTTTTAATGCCGGTGCGTTAATCAGTGCTTTTTTCAACTCTTCTACAGCTAATAACTGGTCTACACCCATTTTAAAAGCTTCTTCCATCCTGAGTAAGTCTGAGAGTGGTTTGGCTATTATGGAATAGTCTCGTATAAAACGCCTAAAAAACGATGTTAATCCTAAAAACCTCTGTAATTCCTTTTTACTTGTCGGTATAGGAAAGTTTCGCACGGCCCTAGTTTTCTCTACTGACGGTAAAATTTGACCGTTCTCCAGGATGTACCCCAAAAAATTAATTTGCTTCTTTATGAAYTGACATTTCTCCCACTTTATCTGTAACCCATGTTCGCTCGCCTTTCTTAGTACTCTACGTAGTTTTTCCAACGATTCGTTCTCWTCCTTGGCGGGAATAACGATGTCGTCCATGTACATATATGATAATCGTATCATCTTTGAGCATATCCTGAAACACTGCTCGAATAAACCTGCAAAAYACTGCCGGTGAGTTGGTAATACCAAATGGTACGAAACAAAATTCAAATTGGCCGCTGTGGGTGACAAATGAAGTATACTTTCGCGAGTCAGATTCGACTGGTACGTGATAAAACTCATTTTTAAGGTCGAGGATTGTGAAAACTTTCGCGCCCTGCAACTTATCTAACACTTCGTCTACAAGGGCCATCGGAAAGTTGTCCCTTACAATTTTCTCGTTAACTTTGCGAAAATCGCAACAAAACCGCTTCGTCCCACCTTTTTTCTTCGTCAGTACCACAGGTGATGCATATTCCGAAGTGCTGTATTGTATAATCCCYTCTTCTAGCATGGCTTGCACCTGTTCATCTATGTAACGCTGGTCTTCAACTGACGTTCGACGTGGACGCTGCCACACGGGCCTATCATCCGATAGWATAAGCTTCATCTGCACCGGTACGCTTGACGGTTTTCCGAGCATGTAGGTAGTAACTAGGCGCTCTACTTCCTTGGCAATACTTCCATCTAAATGCGATATGTCGATTCCCTTCGACTTCTCCTCTGTTCCTTCATTCTCGGCTAGACAAACGCTTCAAACTCTTTCAAGAAACCATTTCCCCATTCTATGCAGCCACCTTCCCTGGAAACTTCACCCTGGGCTAATCCCGTCAACTCCACCGACTTACGGTGCGAACCCCTCATCTCGGTCTCAACCTCTCCAGAGCTGCCACCCTGGCACTCCGACTCTGCCTTGCTAACTTTCCCATCGGTGTCGTCACTACCCTGTGCTACTCGAGTACTCTGCTTCTTGAACGTCACTGTCCCTTGCCTAAAAACCAGTTCCACGTCCTTGAGGACATCGCTTCCTATTATGGCAGCGTACGGTATATCGCGTTCTCTTACTACGTGGAAAGTAATTTCCAACACGACCTCGTCGATCTCGATTTCAGCGTCAAAGCAACCCAATGTCGTGAGTTGCCCCTGGCCTATTCCATACAAATGCCGCTTCTCCCTACTAAGCTCGATGTCACCTAACATCAAAAGAGTATCGTATCTCATTATACACGAGTCGCAGCCTGTATCTACTAGCGCACTAAAAGTAACGTTATTAATTGACACATCAATAAATATTAGGTTACTTTTCCGTTTGCTCCCCTTGTGGTGGCCTAACGTGTTTACTCGTTCACCTTTAACCATTTTGCAATCCTTGGTAATATGGCCTCTTTGCCTACATTTAAAACATATTGCATTACTGAGCCCTGACCCCAGACATTCTATGGCAAAATGACCTTCTTTGTCACATTTGAAACACTTTTTCCTTTATGGCATCTTCTCACTAAAATCTTTCCCTGACCCTGTCTGAGGCGTGGACACTCTGTTTGACGACATTGGTCCCCCTCTAATTTTTTCGTAGACTCGGATCTGTTCTTTTAGCTCCTTTATGCTTTTCGCCTGGTACAGCATAGCCTTACTTGACCTCGTGTCTGGTACTCCCTCTACAAAATATTCCACAATACTCTTTTCATCGAGATTGATAGCCTTCCCTATTTCTATCAGTGCGTACAAATATTCGTAGATGCTTTCCCTAGCCTCCTTTCGCCTGTTTCTCAACGCGCGGTGGATTTCAGAGGCGCACAACTTTTCGCCGAACTCCTCTAACAATGCATCTTTTAGATTCTTCCAGTCTCTGCAACCTACTAAGCCACGAACGATTTAGCCGCGCCTTTAAGCAATTGTTTCGCATACACATACCTCTGTAGGCCACTTCAACCTACAGTGTCGGCAACATCTTCAAATTCCTCCACCCAGTGATTCACTCCGCGCGTACCATCACCAGAAAATGCCGAAACACTATCTTCTATATCGCGCAGTGTAAACATCGCTCTTTGCCCACCTAAATTACCAGCCGGAGCATCATCGTAAATTGAATTTGTCGATTCATTTTCACTAAGAGCATCTTCACCTGCTTCTTCTTCCCCTTCAAAAACCATGTGCTGTAGCAATCGYAGCTGCAATTCTTTTTTCCTACCGACAACACTTAAATTAAGTTCCCTAAGTTTTCTTTCAGCATCTCCACCGTCATTGCTCTAATCGTGTCGGTATCCATCTTACCAATTGTTGACTACACCAAAACAAAACTTACACTTATAGCATGAACAATATTAACCTGAGAATTATATAATTTTTAACCACTTGTCCCCATTGACATATGTGTATGTAATTTCAATCAAAATAATTTAGGATAAATTAGACATAACAAATACAAATAAGAGAAACAAAATACACAAAATTTCCACGAATACTTGTAATTCTATTTACGTTACTCCTCGCCGTCGCTAAATTGCTGCTAATGCCTGTTGCGTTGTTCTCACTGCTATCGCAATACCAAGTAGATGCACCTTTACTCTCACTATGTACTTGATCGACGCTTTGACTTGCGCCGTTTAGCGGTACATATGTACATAAAAGCGTCTCAGAGTTTATACGGATATAAGCTGCTGCTTTTCTGAAGAACTGTTCAATGCGCTGCCTTTCGGAGTATAAGCGGACACACACAAACTCACATAAATAGTACGCAAGTACTTTGCTGTCTCTTTCCGGCTAAAGTTTTTTGGCACTTTCGTTTTAATGCTTTCAATTTGTCTTTTCCAATTTTGACTGTGACTACTTGGTCAGACACTTGTTTTAGAATAACTGTCATTCACCGGTAAAATGGTACTGTGTCCGTTGGAGCACCCAAAATTCCGGGGATGTTAGAATTTACGTACAGCACGTACACCGCGTTTTCACTGCACTTTATTCTGCAAATTGTCTGATTTTGCTTTAGCGCACATCAAATTGTMTTTKAATGCGTTGCTTTTTCACATGCGCTTATTAGCGAGCACGCTAATTTGTCTACTGCGTACTTTGGCAATATCACTTTTCACTTTGATTTACCTGCGAGCCTGCGTAATAGTTTTTTCTTTCTTTTTTACTTAGCACCGCACTTGTTCACATATCTCGGGCGAGCCCTCAAGTTGTAGTAAAAGACACTTTGTCTATTCGTTTCAAACCACGTTCATTAAAATATTGTCAAGTACATAGATGCTTAAACACTATTTAGGCACTTATCTAGTTGCGCGCGCCACGGTGTATATCACTTGACTGTCTCTATCTTATCCGTTTTCCCTACTTCGTCCTCTGTCTGTTCGTTTCATGTTCTGTCGTTCCTCTGTTTGCCTGCGTAGACTTGCCACCTACCCCGATATCCCATTCCCACATGTATATTGGAAGCGAATCCATGAACGTCTTATTAGGCACCTAACGTGATAAGGCTTTAGATAGTTAAAGGTGACCTACCGCGATTATTGGCAATGAAAGAACCAGTAGACCTACCACAGGCTCTATTATTATGTACAAAATTAGAGAATCAAAACTTAAGGACTCAGTATGCCAGACATACTAGTAACATTGGAAAGGGGCTAAGCACAAGCTCACCACCACTTTTTCCTATAATTCACACCCCAACACATTTAACCGATATCGAGATTATCCTCAACCATTTCGCTCGCCACAAATACCTCAAAGGGTATTCCAACCAAATAGACCTTACAATCAATACCGTTATGGAAATAATGATTATAAATTTCCTCCACCTAGGCCAACAGTCCCAAAACCACCGCAACCTATTGACATAGATCCAAGTCTAAAAACAGCTAATGTTAACAATGTGAACAGACCTTTTGCTCCTAAATACGCGGGGAAAAGACCAACAAGTGGATTTTCCAATAATCAAAATCCACCAAAACTACAAAGGAATTTTCACATCAATAATTCAGGAATTGAAACGAGATGAACAAAAACTAAGTGAATACGAGAACAAAACAAAATTTATAAACCAGACATTTTCTAATGAATCTAAAGACTTTACAGAGATAAATTTTTTTAGACTAAGCAATTCATCACTACCATATTTCGAGTGCAAAGCAACTAGAGGTGAATTGTTCAAATTTCTTATCGATATACTGGCTCGAACAGAAATTACATACAACCGAAACATGTTCAAAACCCCATTCCTACTGGAAATATTTTCTACGTAAATTCAATAGCAGGTAATGTTAAGATAACTCATCATAAAATGGTAAATTTATTTAAACAAAATGATTTCAATGTAAAATTCTTTTTATTGCCACCTTTAAAATGCTTCGACGGAATATTAGGGAATGATAGCCTAAAAGTACTATCCGCCATCATTCATACGAAAGAAAACTATGTGACTATTTGCAATAACTATATAATTAAAATAAAACAACAATCTGCAAATTCCTTAAATAATATTGACATCAGAACGGAGCACATGACTGAACAAGAAAAACTTCATTTCGAAAATTTAATAAAACAATACTCAACTTTATTTGCTGAACCAAACGAAAAGCTTACATTCACAACCATCGTAAAAGGTGAAAGAAGAACTACAACCGAAAGGCCAATATATTTGGCATATTACCCATATCCTTGAAAGATGAAGTTGAAAAACAAATACAGGAACTTCTTGATAATAACATAATTCGACCTTCACGGTCTCCTTATAACTCTCCGGTATGGATAGTGCCAAAGAAAATTGACGCTTCAGGAAAGAAAAAATATCAACTCGTTATTGATTATAGGAAACTCAATACCGTCACCATTCCTGATCGGTATCCCATACCCGACATCAGTAACGTACTTTCAGAACTTGGAAAAAGTAAATTACTTTCGGTGATAGACCTTAAAAGTGGATTTCATAAAATACCTCCAAAAGAGAACTATTATTTGGGCTCTGAAATGGCTTCGAAACTATATGTACGGGACTGCCAAGGTAAAGATCTTTACAGACCATCAACCATTAACATACGCCTTATCTAACAAAAATTCTAATTCTAAAATGAAGCGATGGAAATCAATTTTAGAAGAATACCATTACGAACTACAATACAAACCCGGAACTATGAATAAAGTTGCAGATGCTTTATCTAGTCCCCCTCGAAATTCACACATCAACTCTATGACGCTGACCCGGAAAAGCGACGAAAGCTCCTCTCAGAATTTGATACCATTTGCCAATGTGCCCCTTAACGTATTCAAAAACCAAATCATTCTCAATGTAGGAAATAATACTAACTATAAGTTTTAAATTCCATTCCCAACCTATCATCGTCACACAGTAACTGACGTAACTTTCAACGAAGAAAAATTAGCCAATATCCTTAAATCATATTTGAACCCATCGGTGACTAATTTCCTCATGACAGACGAACGAACACTAGGTATCGTTTCAACAGATACAAAATACAGTTCACTTGGAAGTTAGTAAGAGATTTAACAAATTTAGCCGATCAAAATAAAGAAATTATTTTCCACAAATGAGAGCCAAGATTAAAAAAATCGTCAAACGGTGCAGAACATGTAAGTTTAATAAATACGACCGTCACCATCATTAACACGCTATTCAAAGCACACCAATACCTGAGTACCCCGGACATATCGTCCACATCGATATATACCACACAAACAAACAGCTCATTCTTACCGCCATAGATAAGTTTTCGAAATATGCTCTTATTAAACTAATTACATCACGAGCGGCAGACGATCTGAAACAACCTCTTAGAGACATCATAATCTCATTAGGAATACCAAAAGTTATTATATTYGACAATGAAAAATCATTTAATTCCAGCCCAATCACATTCATGCTGACTAATCAATTCAATATAGAGATTCACAAAGCTCCACCCTATAGAAGCTGTTCGAACGGTCAAGTTGAGAGATTTCACTTTACTCTTACCGAAATAATACGTTGAATCAAATCAGAAAATAAACATGAATCATTTGAGGAACTCCTAGACAAATCAATTTTTGAATACAATAACTCAATCCATTCAGCAACCGGTAAAAAACCTCTCGAGTTTTTTTTTGGCCACAGAACAATAATAGATCCCAAACAAATAGAAATAAATAGGCAAAAAAACGTTAAGAAGCTACGAGAAAAACAAGAGGCCGACCTAAAACATTATAATAAAAACAAAACGCCCATGAAGAATTACGACATAGTTGACACAATTTATGTAAATATAAATAAAAGGTTAGGAAATAAACTAACCCCACGATATAAAGAGGAAAGAGTCGCTAAAAACTTTAACAGTACTGTCCTTACAAAATCAGGTAAAACTGTTCATAAAAATTTAAACAATTACAAAAATAATATGCATCAGAATTAGGAAAAAAAAAACGTTAAAGTAAATAGAATATAAATTTATTGCCAAAAATAAAACTAAAAAGTAAAAATAAAAATATTTAAAATTGAAATTGTAATTGTAATAAGAAAAAAATACTACATATACTTATGTTATTAACTGAGGCAAGGCCAATATTATAATTCCATATAAATTAAGAAACACTTAGAGTAAGAATCACTTGTAAGAATGAAAATGAATTGTAATTTTTTTCCAATATGTAAATATGAATGTGAAATTGTAAAAATTAAAATGAATTGTAAACCTTTTTCTAATGTACTACATATTTATTTACTTTAAGCAGTAAATCGTGTAAAATATGTACATACATATGTAGTTAAGAAATGCACCACTTAATTGCGCAATATATAACACCTATCATCAGCCTAAGAATCGAGCCAATCGTTAATGAATATGACACCAGTGCCAAAGATGCCACTACATATGTCGCTCAATGAAACATTTTATAAATAAAAGCTTGCGGTACGAAAGAGGACTCTAGAGCTCAGCCATAGTACTCATTACATTGAAGTCTCCCAGATCTCCAAATAAAACTTTACAATAACTTGGCAGTCGAACGCCGACGATCGAAATTAAGAAAGGAGGAGTCAACAAAATAAATATTTTGTTATACAGTGTGCCATGTAAGCTTAAGAATGCTCAGGAATGCAGGTACACAATTTGGCAAACGCATCACGCCACTTTACCGCTACCCACTAAAAGAGCGCCAAACTAATATTACGGACTTTAATGACGCTACTAGCACGCCACTAACAATATGCGTGGCTGCCGACGTCTCTCTCTGCCGGCGCTTAGAATATTAAGTTGGTGATAGCATGAGCTTAGATTTTAGTTTCACTTTTAATTCGGCTGTTCTTTAAGTTGGTTGGACATCGCTCCAACAACTTAGAAATTAAAGTTAAACAAGCATTTTTGTACAGTTGTAACAAAATGTTTAAATAAAAACTAAAAATAAAACTTAAAATAAGTTAACTTATATAAGGCTATCATTGTGCTAGCAACTGTAATGCTAAAGACTTAGGCAGATAAACGTACACTGATATTTTGAAAAGTTTGAATGTGCAGAAGTCAATTTTGATATCACGTTGTGAATTCTGTTCTTGGTAATGAACTATATCTTTCTAATCTACAGGAGGCCCACGAAATTTTATATGATTTTTGAAGTTTTCAGTACAATTTCTCGTAATGTTTAGCAGTTGAGAAGAATCATCATCTGTAATAGACTAGTTGACAGGTATAAAGATGTATTCCCTAGAGTTTCTCTATCACCTCAAAAACATACCTCCGAACCACATCTCCTTTACAAGAATTATGGATGAAAAAGTATGCAACTACTTGAAACTAGAAGTTAACTCCAATGCCTTGTGTCATCACTGTAAAAAAAACACTGTGGCTATCCTGGACGTACGATTTTCATCACCGTAGTTCTCCAATCCTACTATAAAATGCCTATACCTTTCATATTGTAAATGAGTTTTCAATAACATTTCATCTCAAAATAACCAAAGCATCTGCTATGCAACTCCAGAGACTCCCAGGATTTCTTAGCCAGCTTTTAATAAATATAAAAAGTGTGGTTGCGGAAGGTCAATGAAAAAAGTATCACAAATATCTAGAAGCCAAAGGAGATGTGAATTTTACTCCTACGGCTATAGTCTTCACAATTTCTATAATATCTGAGACCTGAAGGGCAGCGAGAAGTATTTTGTATACTATTCTTAACACATATTGCGAGAAATGGTGGTAATTTGTAACAAATCTCATCAATTAGGGTCCTATTTCAGACACTTCCCCTTTACTTAAACGTAAATTGTTCCTCATCTGGAAATGGCGCTGGCAGGCGAATATTTTCTTTTTAGGGGTATCTGTGACCCCGAAAAATTCCATCCATTTTCCTCGCCTATGAAGAGTTTTAATACATTTAACAGAAAAATATGCAAAGAAAATGGTTGGCATAAATCAAACAAACTTTATTTATTTTTTTTT